GATGAAGAGAAAGGCAATGTACCAAATGTGAGTGACCAATATGGCAGCATTGAGGAAGAGAAAGACATAGAGAGGTACATGGGAGGTACAGACAACAAGGATGAACCCTTTTGCACATACAGTAGTGCATTGTCAGTGAAGGCAAACATGGGTATATGGGTGGATAGATGGGTGGGTGGACAGGCTGAACTATTAGGTATGTCTATGAACTGGGAAGTATATCCAAGAACATGTATAGGGTTGGCAGACAATGGTCCTATAAGTTTATGTGGATGATCAGAATTCTCAGGTGTATAGTAGAGGTGACAAGGGGCAAGGCTGTGGACACTGCTTGGTCACAACCAGCTACCAAGAGGGACCAAGTAGTTGAACCTGCGGGCTTAGGACCATAGTCACAGGGGACATCAAGCTCAATTGGCATAACATACTATACAAAACATTGTTCCACCTCCTACTCTGGCGAGTAGCGACTGGGATCTTAAAAGCTAGCAAGCTGCCATCTAGATGCAACGATGGGTCTCTCCGCATCTAGAGCAAAGAAGAATGAACAAAACCAAAATTCATGGAAACAAGTTAGTCCTAGCGACTGGTACACCATCCAATCCGCAGCCTTTACGACTATGAGACCAGAAGAACTAGATGGTGTCCAGCTACCACTGTCATCCACTTGGAAGGAGATCTATGTAGGAGATCCTTGACAGAGAGGGAGAACAATGTGAAACAAAACTCAAAATCATTTGGAGATTAAAAAAAAGGGGGGTGGGGGACCAGGGTCTGATAGAGCCTGGTGAAACCACTGAGACTATGGCCCCTAGCTGCCCTTCAGGTCTGGAATTGAACCCACACCTGTGGTTACCAGCCAAACAAAAGACAGGCATATGAGTTGAACATTTACCTCAGGTATATCCACTCCTTGGAGAGAACAAGCATGGGAGAAAGAAGGGCTGCTTATGCACAGGGAGACAGCCCAGGGGGCAGAAGTGCATGGAGGGATGGACACTGGGAAGAGGTAACTATGGGGAGGAAGTGGGAGGGGAGCTGTTGCATTGTGGTAAACTTGGTCAATGTCATGGGACAAAATGTATGTGAACTGCTGTATGGAAAGTGAATTTGCTCTGTAAATCTTCACCCAAATTACAATTTAAAAAAAAAAAGAAATCTCAATATACCAAATATCCAAAGAACAATTCTTATATTGAAAAAAGAATAATTATTTTATTGAAAAAACTTTCACGTGCCACATATTGTATTAAGTATTAGAATTGTTTTAAAAAAGCATAAAGCAGTCCCTACATCAAAATGAAGAGAGAAAAAAAGAAAGATGGAAGAAAAGTAACATTTATTGTGTACCTGTTACATGCCAGGCAGTGTGCTAAGCACTCAATATATGTTACTGCATTTAAATCTCCTGGTGGTGTAGTACCTAAGGCCCTTGACTGCTAACCAGAAGGCTTGCAGTTCAAACCCACCAGCCACCCCTTGGAAGGAAGACTGGGCAATCTACTTCTGTAGTGATACCACCTTGGAAACCCAAGGAGAGGTCGCTATCATTCGGATCCGACTCAAGAGCAGTGAATTTGTTTTTTTCATAATAACCTTTAAGTTGGTACTATCTCTCCTTCCTAAAATAAGAAACTATGGATGAGAAAATTAATAAATACATAAAGTAATACATACATACTATGGAAAAAAAAAGTAATAACATACTACGGAAAAAGACAAGCTGGGGAGGAGTGGCAGAAGATAAATTGTTTGGTTTTAGTCACAATGAATACTGAAACAGCTCTAACTATCCCTTTACTGTTAACCCAGTTACAGTGCTTTAACACAACTTATTTTCTATAGTAAGTAAATCTGTAACATTAGTGTTTTTATAAACACTTCACACTTTAATCTGCCATAAAAAGTAGACAACCTTTTGAATCAAAATAAAAATGTAAATGCCTACTACAGTACCTAGGCAGTTAACAATCATGAGTGAAGTGAGCCTGGTGAGCTAACAGGATAGATAAGAAAAAGTGATGTGCAGTGCCCTATCCAGAAGAGGCAGCTAGACACAGTACCAGCCACTTGGTAGCATGTAGGAATGCAGGTTCAGTTTTGCAAGATCAATGGTTTTATTTACTTGAGTGAAGTCAAAAACCCGTATTTTGTGTGAAATTTCCTAATTTTAAAAACAAACATAGTGCAGTCCAAACAAAACATATCCTTGGGCCAAAGAGTCAACTGAATCAATTAACAATACAACCCTGTCTTGCATCTTCTCACTCTAATTTATCCTAAGTATTCACCAGTAAACTTAGATTTACTACCTAAATTCCCAATTAAAATGTACCCTCCAATATATACTCTCAAAGCAAATAGCTGAAGACTCTATACCACACAAAAGGTAAAGAAAAGGTAGGAAGACTGAATGTAATAAACTATTGTCCCATTTCATTTTACTAGTTAATTTTACTGATGTCACTAGTATAAAGGTGCTAGTAAGATGGTGTGGTAGTTAAGTTTGTGTGTCAACTTGGCTAGGCCTGGTTGAGTGGTTGGGCAGCTGGATATAGTATTCCCCATGATGAGACTGGTAATCAATTCTATGGTGGAATCTACTGTGAGCCTCTGAGTAGCTGCCTTAGGGATGTGGTCTGCTTCCTGGATATAAGGAGAAACCTTGGGGAACAGTCTCTAGCTGATGGCACACTTAACCCTGAATGTAGCCTTGTCATTGTTCAGTAGCCTGCCATGCTCTGTAAACCTAGGGATTTTCAATGGACTTAAATTAATGGCCTGCTGTGTGATTTGGTAACATCAAGACTATGCCTTTTTACTTGTCAACCTTGGGCTTGTCAGTCTCAGCCAGCAGCTATGTGACTGAAGAAAAGCCTCCAGCTTCAATGGGCCAGGAGCAGGAGGCAGAGCTGAAGCCCAAGGTTGAGGGGCTTTCACCCAGCCTCTAGAGATAGGCACTTTGAACTCAGACTTAAAGCCTCCAAATTTTAAGAATAAACTCCAATTTGTTAAAGCCATCCCATTTGTGGTATATCCTTGTCAGGGTAGTACGAGATAACCAAAACAGATGGGTAGCAGTTATAGTAAAATTTTCAAAACTCCAACTACTTGGATATTCTAATACATTTGTCTTAATGAAATCTGACCTCTATCTTATTTATAAAATCTTTAATCATTTTATATGTCATCTATAAATAAGTCACTTTACTCACTTTTTTACATCACAGATAGATGTAAAATTTCTACCTCATTGTTTTACTGTAATTCCTTCAAACACCTGGATGATACCATACTTACTATACTTACCAGAGTTTATGTAAATCTTCATTACTTTTGTTCCTTAACTGCTGACATGTCCATGGAGCTCCTATTAAAATAAAAAATTCATAATATGAGAATGTTTTTAACTATGCACCCCTTGGCAAATTACTTAACCTTCTTAAACCTCAGTTTCTTTATCTTAAAATGTATAATGATAGCTAACTTTACAAGGTTTCTGTAAGGATTAAATTAGATAATACATATAAAAATATTAATAAAGTGACTGGCAATATTATTAAAAAATATTAGCATTAGTACACTATGTACCTCTGCGTCATAATGTCAACTACTTTATATGAGTCATAATTTCCAATTATCTCTAGAAAATATAGACTAAAACAAACCCCCAAGCTCTACTTTAGTTAATAATTTCATCACACTTCTCTTCAAATCTTTTGCCAAACTGCCAAAGAAAAATTTACTATTTCATTATCCTTTCAATTTTCTCTTATAGAAGGAACATCAGAAAAAGAAAATGCCTAAGTAACTCCCAAACTGGATAAATAATCCCATAATGAAAGAGAGTTCAATAAATATATTTCATATTGTCCAACTCTAGTCTCTCACTGGGAGCTCTGGTGGCATAGTGCCTAAGGCAGTTAACTGTTAACCAGAAGGCTGGTGGTTCAAACCCACCAGCCACTCCTCAGAAGGAAGACTGGGCAATCTACTTTCCAGTGATAGCACCTCGGAAATCCAAGGAGGTTGCTATGAGTCAGATCCGACTCAACAGCAGTGAGTTTAGTCTCACCAGATTTTACTTTTTCTTCCCCCCAATTCTTTGGGTCATCAAAAAATTCTTCTAGTCCTTTTCTTGACAACGTGGTATGAAGTGATCTACACTGGTGAAAAGATGTGACATTTGATGTATTCTTAGGCAACAAACCAACTGTAAACCTGCAATTGAACATATAGGTAATTAAAGTTTCACAATATCTGGACTTTATAAGCAGTAAATGAGAAAAACTAACTCAGGGTTTCTGCACAAGAAACAACAAACTTTTAAAATGCATTAGAAAACATTTTTAATACTGCTTTGTAAGAGACTGTGACCCTACAATTGCAGAGTAACATACATACATAATTATATTTTAGATAACATTTTAGGTCCTTCATACTCTACTAACATTTTGAAGGTCAATTTTGCAATATTTATTAAGAGCCCAAAATGCCACTTCCTTTAATCCTGTAATTCCACATGTAGAAATCTCAACCAAAGAAATAACCATATATGAGAATTTATAAATTAAAATGTCTATTAAAATATACTTATTATATCAAAAAGTTGATCACAAGGAAAAAACAGTCTAATGGTTAAATAAATTATAATGCTTCCATGTGATAAGCTATTATACAGTAATTTACAAATGTTTTTAGGAATATTTAATAACCTAAGGAAACAATTTAAAATAAAATAGTGAAATATACCACCTATGTTGTAGTCCTGCCAAAAATGTTTAATCTGAATCTAATCACGAGAAAGAAGTCCCTGGGTGGGCAAATGTTTAAGCGCTCAGCTACCAGCTGAAAGGTTAGTGGTTCAAACACACCCAGAGGCATTTTGGAAGACAGGCCTAGGCATCTACTTCCCAAAGGTCAAGGCCTTGAAAACACCCTGGAGCAGTTCTACTCTATGCACATGCGACAGCAATGAGTCTGAACTGACTGGACGGCAACTAAAATCAATGACAACCATCATGAAGAAACAGAGAAATCTAAATGGAGGGATAGTCTGCAAAGGCTAATCTTGTCAAAAATGACAATGTCATAAAAGAAAAAATAAAAAAGAAACCATTCTAGAGTAAAGGCAACTAACAGGACAAGCCAATAAATGAATTTAAGTGATCCTTGATTAGGTCTTGAATCAAGAAGAGAAAAAAAAGGAATTACCAGGACAATTGAGGATACATGATTTGAACTATGCACTAGAGTACTGTAGTGCAGTAATAGTAGGGTATTAATATTAAATATTGAGTACAATCATTGTAATGTGGTTATTAAGAAAATGTCCTTGTTCCAAGGAGATATATGATGAAGCTTCATGATGTCTGTAACTCTGATGTATCTCAGATAGTTTATTAAAAGTACAGATGTAAAAAGGATAAAGAAAATGTGACAAAACGTTAGCAACAGATTAACCTATGTATAGGGTATATGCATATTTTTGGTACTATTGCAACTTTTCTGTTGGTTTGAAAAATCTAAAAAAGTTAGAAAAGCAATGTTATGTTGTTATGTGCCATCAAGTCATATCTGACTCATAGTGACCCCCTCCTTGGGTTTCTGAGGCAGTATCACTACGGAAGTAGATTGCCCAACCTTCCTTCTGAGGAGTGGCTGGCTAGTGGGTCTGAACCGCCAGCCTTATAGTTAGCAGTCAAGTGCCTTAGGCACTAAGCTACCAGAACTCCCAGAAAAGCAATAGCAGAGCATAAAAATGAATGTATGTGTGTATATGCAAAGTTAAAAAGAATGGCAGGAAATCTGTTTATCACTGAACAATGGAAATATAACTGCTTTGTACTTTATTCAAAATACCTCATTTTCTGACCATAGTCACAGGAGACATCAAGCTCAGCTGGCATAACATACTACACAAAAACACTGTTCCACATCCTACTTTGGCAAATAGTAACTGGGATCTTAAAAGCTTGCAAGCAGCCATTTAGATGCAATGGTGGATCTCTCCTCGTCCAGAGCAAAGAAAAATGAAGAAAACCAAAGATGCATGGAAACAGTCCAAGCAACTGGTACACCATGCAATCCTCAGCTTATACGACCATGAGACCAGAACTAGATGGTACCCCGCTACCACTGTCAACCACTAGGAGGGGGATCTATGTAGGAGATCGTGGATACAATGGGAGAACAATGTGGAACAAAACACAAAATCATTAAAAAAAAAAAAAAGGGGGGGGGGACCAGGTTTACTGGTCTGATAGAGGCTAGTGGAACCACTGAGACTGGCCCCTAGCTGTCCCTCAGGTCTGGAATTGAATCCACTCCTGTGGCTTCCAGCCAAACAAAAGACAGGCATATGAGCTGAAAGTTTACATTAGGTAGATACACCTCTTGGAGAGATCAATTATGGGAGAATAGAAGGGCTGTGTATCCACTGGGAGACAGCTCTGGGGCAGGAGTGCATGGAAGCGAAGGACGCAGGGAAAAGGTAACTATGGGGAGGAAGAAGGAGGGAATATGTTGCACTGTGGGAAATTGCAGTCAACGTCATGAGACAAAGTATAGGTGAGACAAATGTGAGGTGCTGTATGGAAAGTGAATTTGCTTTGTAAACTTTCCCCCAAATCACAATAAAAATTTTTTTTTTTAATTTCCAAATTTTCTCAAATGAACAGATATTCATTTTATAATAATAATTTTAAGGAAGAAGGATGAAGCAGAAGAAACAAATGATCCAAGTTTGCCACCATGATCAAGTTACAACTTCTAAGCCTCTAACAAAAAATTGCTTCTCTCTAAGGTTGTGTAGGTCGTATCACATAATACTAAAAAATCTGTGCATACAAGAGCAAGTGCATAGTTCCTTTTAAAAAATCTGACATACCCTATTTATAAAATTAAACTTTAAACTCATGCCAATAAAAAGAATGAAACCATACACTCAAAGTAAGAAAGGATGGGTCTGTACAGAAGACAAGCGGTCTTTACACTTCGAAACAATGAATACCATCTGTGGGATGTTACTTTTTCACATCTCTGGGGCGATTTTCCATTTATTAGGCTACTTCGACTTATTCATTCAACATTTACTGAACCATCTTTTTATAACACAGCCTAGAGATGTAAAGATTTCTTCCTTTTTATCCATTCAAGCCTGACACATCCTTTAGTTTCACGGCAAAGATCTCTTCAGTAAAGTTTTCTGGAATCCACCCAACCCAACAGCATGCTTCTTTACCTTTAGGTTTAATTCGAAAAATACCAAAGAGGGGTCCCCATGAGTCAGATTCAACTGGATGGCAGTGAGTTTACCAAGCCCAGGAAGGAGCTGTGGTGGGTATAGTGAGTAAATGCTAACCAGGTCAGTGGTTCAAAACCACCAGCTGCTCCTCCAGAGGAAGACGAGCGACTCTACTTTGGTAAAGATTTACAGCCTAGGAAACCCAATGGGGTCGCTGTAAGTCGGAATCAACTCGATGGCAGTGGGTATGGTCTCTGGACCAATCCCACATACCGCCTGATACACAGCAGGCTGCAACGTAAGGTTTGAGGAAAGAACGGAGATTCCTGACTTCTTCAAGGTCAGTTCTCAGAGATGGGGGTTCAAGCTCAGCCATCTAGTTGGCCTTTGCATCCTCTAGCTGTTCTCAGCGTCTGGAGACCAAAGATCCAAAGCTGGAAAAGGTGGACAAATCCAGTCTTCAATCACTTACCCTGAACTAGTAGGGACCTGAGAAGTTACTAATCCTCCGTAAGCCTTCAGGACGGTTGAAACCCCTTGGCAAAGTGAAACTAAACGGGACGCAGCCATTTTTTCACATAACTAAGTAAACCGCGTTTCCGCCAACAGAGCGTCACTTCCGCTGTCTCCCGCCAATCAGACGCAGGGAACAGGAAAATGCTCTTCCCTCACTCCACATGGCCTCCTTCTCCTTCGTCTTCATTGGTGAATTGTCTCTCTCGACTCCCTTTACTCTTCCTGCTTCTTCCGATTGCCAGGAGTAGCCATGGCGGCTATGAGCTTATTGCGGCGGGCTTCGGTCACTGCATTAGCAGCATCTCTGTCTGGCCGCCGCCTTGGCACTCGACTTGGATTCGAAGGGTTCCTCACCCGTGGCTTTCCGAAGACTGCCGGTGGGTGCTAACCTTGGGAGGAAGCCGCGCAGGGGGAGGAGTAAGCGATGAGAACTTTCCCGGGTGACCTTGGTGGGATCCTGTGGGAGCTGGGAGAAACGATGAGCTGGGGGCTTGAGAGAAGGAGAGACGGAGCAAGTGTTGCGTGACGAGATTGAAGCGATAGGACAGACAGCGTTTGAACTGTTAGTTAGCATTTATAAAATTGTCATTCACCATATCAGTTGTTGCTAATTTGCCGTGAAGCTGAACACCAAAATCTTCGTACGTTCCACCTGCGCTAGGTTGTAGGCCTGTTGTTGTTGTTGTTATGTGCCGTCGAGTCGGCCCCGACTCATAGCGACCCCTTCTTGGGTTTCCGAGGCAGTATCACTACGGAAGTAGGATTGCCCAACCTTCCTTCCGAGGAGTGGCTGGTGGATTTGAACCGCCAGCCGTCTGGTTAGCAGGCAAGTGTCTTAGCCACTATGCTACCAGAGCTCCCGGTTGTAGGCCTACGAGATGGTAAATCATATTGCTGAGGTGGCCACGGATGTTGAGTATGCAGACAAATAGAGTGTCCAGTCCGTTATCCAGTAGTCATAGTGCATATAGAGCCCACAATACTTTTAGAGGTCCAGAAAATGTTTTACTTTTAATTCTCTTAAAATCAGAAGAAGAAAGACGATAGTCTTAATGAGTGTGGGATAATGTATCCAGCCTGGCTTGTATTCGTTTTATATCAACACAGTCATAAAATATAGTTTCAAATATTTTTTTATAAAGGCAAAAGTACCAAATCCCGGGAAAATCATATTGCAGCCCTGAGAGGGCTATTTGGAGTCTCTTGGAGACTTTGGCTGCCTTCAACGTAATCATAATAACGGCACATCAAATGCTTTATATTCAGTCTTACTCTCTGAAAGTCTGCAGAGTTAGTACAATGTTATTAGTTACCTATTACAGACGGGGAAACTGACACTCAAATGTTATAAGAACAATGCACCACTGTAGTAAATGTAATAATAATATTAGCCAACGTACTTATTTATTAAGTACTTAACTATGTGCGGGGAGCTCTGGTGGTGTAGTGCCTAAGGCATTTGATGGCTAACCAGAAGGCTGGCAGTTCAAACCCACCAGCAACTCCTTGGAAGGAAGGTTGGGCAATCTACTTCTGTAGTGATACCGCCTCAGAAACCCAAGGAGGGGTCGCTATGAGTTGGGTCCAACTCAACTGCACATAACAACAACAGGCACCATTCTAAGACTTCTTATGTATTAATTCACTTAATCCTTTTGACAAAGATACACTGTAAGCTATTTGCCCTATTCAGTATAAGTGGTAAGAGGAATTGAAACTTTTCACTTGAAAACTAAAAAGATCTTGCCCAACCTTTACTTTTTATTACCATATCATTTTTGTCTTCTTCCAGTTTAATTTGAATTATGCCATTTCACAAGATGAGACAATGTCTTCGCAGAAGAGCGGTATCAGTTATGTGTTTTAGAAAGATGTTTATGAATACTGGATGGTTTATAGGAGATTTTGATTGCTTAAGCTAGTGGGGTAATGGAGGTATACAAAGAAATGGAGAGTCTGAATCTTAGAATCAAGAGGCCTTGACAACTAATGAATGAGAAATATATGTACAGAGATGAGTGAAATTTTTGTGTGTTTCGAGACACAATAAGTTCCTTCATTATCTTATTTGATCCTTGCAAAACTCAAAATTGTCAAACACTCAATAACTTTTCTAAGACTATTTGCATTTTTAAAACATGGTATTGAAGACTTAAAATCTGTTGCTGTTAGCTCAATTGGTATAATATACTACACAAAACATTGTTCTACCTCTGCTTTGGCGAGTAGTGACTGAGATCTTAAAAGCTTGCAAGTGGGCCATCTAGATGCAACAATGGGTTTCTCCTCATCCAGACCAAAGTAGAATGAAGAAAACCAAAGATTCATGGAAAAAATTAGTCCTAGCAACCGGTACACCATGTGATCCGCAGCCTATACGACTATGAGACCAAAAGAAATAGATGATGCCCGGCTACCACTGTCAACCACTCGGAGGGGGAATCTATGTAGGAGATCCTGGATAGAGTGGGAGAACAATGTGGAACAAAACTCAAAATCATTTGGAAGAAAATAAGGGCGGGGGACCAGTTTTTCTGGTCCGATAGAGCCTGGTGGAACCCCTGAGACTATGGCCCCTAACTGCCCTTCAGGTCTGAATTGAACCCACTCCTGTGGTTTCCAGCCAAACAAAAGACAGGCATATGAGTTGAACATTTACCTAGAGTAGATACACTCCTTGGAGAGAACAGTCACGGGAGAAAGAAGGGCTGTTTATGCACACGAAGACAGCTCAAGGGACAGGAGTGCATGGAGGGATGGACACAGGGAAGAGGTAACTATTGGGAGGAAGTGGGAGGGGAGGTGTTGCATTGGGGTAAATTGTAGTCAGTGTCATGAGACAAAGTGTATGTGAACTGCTGTATGGAAAGTGAATTTGCTCTGTAAACTTTCACCCACATCATGAAAAAAAAAAATCTGTTGCTATTGAGTCAATTCTGACTCATGGTGACCCCATGTGTGTCAGAGTGGCACATCCTCCATAGGGTTTTCAATGGCTGATTTTTCAGAAGCAGATCACCAGGTCTGTCTTCTAAGGTGCCTCTGGGTAGACTCATACTTCAAACTTGTAGATAGCAGCTGAGTGTGTTAACCATTTGCACCCCCCAGGTACTCTATTGAGGCCTTGTTGTTACTTGCTATGGAGTTGATTCTGACCCATAGTGACCCCGTGTATGCAGAGTAAAACTACTACACAGGATTTTCAAATCTGTAATCTTTCAGAACCAAATATCCAGTCTTGTCTCCTGAGGCGTCTCTGGGTGGGTTTGAATGCCAACCTTTTGACTAGTAGTTGTGTGCTTAACTGTTCGCACCACCTAGCAGGCTATGTAATTAATAAATTTGTAATTGAGAAATCCCAGTAGAGAAAGTAGAAGATGCCTATTTTGGTGGTAAGAGCACCTTTCTGATTTCCAGAAATCTTGACAGTCACTTGGTTGTAAGCAGTGGTCACCCTAATATATTTAGGTTATAAGCAGATGGCCTTACTACATCAACAACAAATCATGAAGGCCCGGAACATCTGGACAGAGTTCAGAGCTGTTATGAAATATCCTTTATAACAGTTAATAGTAATAACACTTACGTGCTCATTTAATGATATGAATAATTGATTAACAGTTGGGTAATTACATGTAAAGAGCAAGCAGCTGACATTACTAACTACACTACTCTTAGTAGAATGCAGCCAGACCAAACTTGGTTCCATAGTTCTGTTTCTGTTATATTTTCTATACCTATCATTAGTGTGGAGGAGCCCTGGTGACTCAGTGGTTAAAGTATTTGGCTGGTAATCAAAAGGTCACTGGTTTGAACCCACAGCCATTCTGCAGGGGAAGGATATGGCAGTCTGCTTCTGTAAAGATTTACAGCCTTCAAAAGATTTACAGCCTTTACAGTTCTGCTTTGTCCCATGGGGTTGCTCTGAGTCAGAATCTACTTGACAACAATAGGTTTGGATTTTGGTACCATGGGGAAGACACTAAGTGGTAGTGGAGATACTGTGCTGAATAAGACCATCACTGATCGGATGGACTTCTAACAGAAAATAGTATGAGGTAGTTCACATTGCTCTAAAGGTAATAATTTGATAATATGAAGAAGACCACTCTTCTGTCAGTTTGTCGTACTGTGGTAGCTTGCATGTTGCTGTGAGGCTGAAGGCTATGCCACTGGTGTTTCAAATACCAGCATGGTCACCCATGGCAGACAGGTTTCAGCGGAGCTTCCAGACTAAGACAGATTTGGAAGAAGGAAGGGATCATCCACTTTTCAAAGTATTGGCCAGTGAAAACCGTATGAATAGCAGTGAAACACTGTCTGATATATTACTGGAAAACTTTATGAACAGCCCTAAAACAATTATCTGGTGTAGTTCCAGAACATGAGCCCATCAGGTTGCAAGGCACTCAAAATAAGACTGGGCAAGAGCTGCCTCCTCAAAGTAGTCACCCTTAATGACATGGTTGGAGTAAAGCTTTCGCGACCTCTTTTTGCTGATGTCGCATGACTCAAAATGGGAAGAAACAGCTCCAAACTTCCATTAATAACTGGAACATGGAATGTATGAAGTATAAATCTACGAAAATTGGAAGTTGTCAAAAATGAAATGGAATGCATAAAGATCGATATCCTAGGTATGAGTGAGCTGAAATGGGCTGGTTTTGGTCATTATTAATCAGACAACCATATGATCTATTATGCCTGGTGTGGTGGTTATGTTTGTGTGTCGACTTGGCTAGGCCTGGTTGAGTGGCTCGGCAGCTGGATGTAGTATTTCCCATGATGAGACTGGTAATCAACTGCATGGTGAAATCTACTGTGAGTAGCTGCCTTAGGGATGTGGTCTGCTTCCCATATATACGAAGCAGCTTTGGAAATGGTCTCTAGTTTATGGCACGCTTGGACCTTGCATGTAGCTGTGTCATTGTTTAGCAGCCTGCCATGCTCTGCTGGCCTTGGGACTTTCAGTGGACTTGAATTAATGGCCAGCTGTGTGGTTTGGTAACATCGAGACTGTGCCCTTTTACTTGTCAACCTTGGCCTTGGCAGCC